AGGGGTCTATCTCCAAAACCCTAGAAGTTCAATAACCAACAAAAAAGACTAAAAAAACTACAACTATATATATATATATATATATATATATATATATATATATATATATATCATAGGATCATCATCAGACTTTACTTCTGGAAGTAAAGTCTGATGATCCGCAGTCTTTTTAAAAGGGCTGTGGTGAAATAATTTATTACATGGAACCTTAAAGTGGACTGTTTTTTATTTAAATTATTTGCTCTGGATTTACATTGAGCTCTCTGGATTTTAGCCTCCTTGGGTTTACCCATACTGATTACCTAGTTTTTCATAAACTATATATATATATATATATATATATATATATATATATATATATATATATATATAATAAAGATAAAGAACAGTAGGAGATATAACCCGGTGTTCTTATTTTTATTTTTACAAAACAGTGCTCAATGTAAATCTACAGAGCATAAATATTATAAATTTACTAATTAAGAATTAAATGAAACTTTACTAATTTCGAATTAAATTAAAGTCCCTAGTCCTGTTGAAACAGGACTTAATTCTATAAGCGAATTTTCAAGCGAATTTTGGAATAACTTATTTTGAAATTCCAAAATTTGCTTGAAAATGAAACAGATATGGGACTTGAATTTAATTCTATAATTTAATTTGAAGTTTTTAGTTTATGTTTTTGAAACATGGTAATTCCTGTGTAGCGATGGAACCATATTTTTAAATTAGTAAATTTATAATATATATATATATCATTAAATATATATATATATATATAGATAGATAGATAGATAGATAGATAGATATATTATTATTATTATTATTATTATTATTATTATTAAATATAACAAACAATGAATGAGCCATCCTCAGAGTGGTTGTACAGACATGAAACAAAGATATCTGCCGTCAAATACCTGTGAGCCGAAAGCTTTGGTCCAACTTAATAAAAAACAATATCCAAATGTTGGACAATTTTTATCTTTATTTTCACCCAAAAGTAAAGCAAACACTCGAACATTAGAACGGCTCATGATCAGACATAATAGATATTCATTGGCTGTTCTATTTAATAATAGATGTTTAAATAATGATCTGCTGACTCAACGTACTATATATATATATATATATACATATATATATATATATATATATGTATGTATGTATGTATGTATGTATGTATGTATGTATAACAAGCTTTTAGATTGGTATCATAATTTAATATTTAACGATTAAAATCGAATAAAATAAATATAACCTAATGAGCCTCTCGACCAACACTTCTTCAGAAGTCAATCATCGATATTAAAATACCACTGAAAGCGTGTTGTTTTTAAAGATAAGATCTTAAAATTAGAGAGGAGAAAAGAGTTGATGGAAATTATTATTGTCATCCATCTCAAGAGACTGACTTCCCTAATAATTCTTATTTGTATTTAAGCTCCTTCTGTCTACACAATGTCGGACGCCGATCACAACAGCTTTAAGATATTCAGATCGTGTTTTCTTCGGGCTCTTTGCAGAACAGAAAAGAACTCTTCTGAATAATTGTTCCTGCAAACTTTTGTACTTAACAAGCCAGCCAGAACTACGATCAGTATCATCTAGTTTGATAGCATTCGATATTGCTGGAATCAAATGTGATATCGTCGAGGTTGATCACTCTACCCACAAGAATCTTGGCAACGTAAATGTTTTAGAGAGCTCACTGAAAAGGAGTTCTCAAGTGTGACACTTAATGAGCTAGAAAAATGTGTAAAGACTGATGGTCAAAAAGTTCATGTTGACCCTAAGGCTCTGTTTTGGAGGCTTGTTGTTCTGATATAAAGTTGCAAAGATGTGACTCTCTTCAGCATCTGTCTATATTTCTGAAACACATGACACAGTGGATAAAGGCGTTGGTTAGATCCAGTGACAGGGTCCAAAGGGTTGTGAGTTCAATACTTGGTTAAGTCAGTGGAGAACTTGGAGAGGTGAATTAGCAAGAGATAACTGATAACCGACATCCATTAGGCATGGCACGTGGAACTAGAACACTCTACCCCAGTGAACGAAATTAAGGTTTCAGTTCGACATTCGAACCACTCGAAGAAGGCGTACAACGGCCGAAACGTTGTGATAAATATGGCAGCAAAGATGAGGACAATAGTCCGAATAATGAAAATTATGTGACTCCTTTCTTCAGGTTCGAACTCACTCTATTTCCAACTTCAGTTTTCAAGAATTTCCAAATGAGAAAGACAAACAGATCACTTGCCCTCTGACGTACCTGAATCTCAGCGGCCAACTTGACACTGAGTTTGTTTTAGATGGAGGTGCTCTCCTCCACCGAGTGAAGCGGTTGCCTAGGCTGACATACAGCGACGTGTTTGCACAGTACGAGCTTCCCAGCATCCCTTTTGATGGTTACTGTTAAGGGGTTCTCCCCCTTTTTACACAAATGGACTCACCCAGTATATACATATACTACGGCTACGTGAAGACTTAGAGAGAGCAAGACCGAGGAGTCGAGTCCCGAGTGACAGAGTAAAAGGTTGTAGGTAACCGGAAGAGTGAGGGTGAGGTAACAGCGTTGTAGGGGTCACAATGAGCGAGCACGTAAACTCAGTAAGAAGTCATACAGCGATACTTCAATACCAAAGACTGTATAGATATTTTGCTACTAACACGTATTCCTGGAACTACTAACCTGCTTTACCAGTTTGTATTATTACGTTAATAGATTATTTCCATATATTCATTCCTGGCGTTTGTTATTTATTGGTACCGGATTTCAACCCGGAATCCACAACAGTTACAATGTAGTCCCGTTCATAAAAGACCATGAACATCAGCGAAGAGCAGTTCGGACTTCTGCTAACGTACAAATTGAAATTTAGTGACTGTAATAGCTGATAACACAGATATTTTTGCTCTTTTACTTTGCCACTTTTCCCCTAACATGGTTAACAGGGAAAGATGTCGCGAAGAAAGATGAAGAAGCTGCTCAGCGTCTATGAAATCGCAGAGAAAAAAAAATTGAAACCAGCGAAAGCAGCTCATCGGAGCAATTACCATGAAAGTATTTGTAAAAAAGACAGAGAGAGGCGACGGCACGTCTGTGAGAGAGCGACTGCAGACGAGAGGCCCGATCAGGGCCAATCATACTGCATATCCGTCTCTGGATTTTATCAAGTACCCCGAGGCAAGCAGAAGGGGCACCAGACCATATATGGCAGCAATACTCCATGCAAGGGCGAATGGTTGATTTGTAGATTTGAAGGATCGATTCCGGGGAGAAAGATTTCCTTGCGATTGTTGCACTACTTTTGCTAATGCAATTTGCTTCTCTTTCCCAAGTGGCATCTGCGAGGTCGCATATATTTGTCAAGATGTATGGAGGAAAACCAAGCGATCCATTCGACTCCCTCGGGTACATCAAGTATACGGGGTATGCATTGAACATTGACGAATATGCCACAGCCTGGAAGACTGCCTCTAACTGAACGGACAGCTTTGTTCCACAGTTTCCGTATCCATCTTAAAGCTTTGATTTGAAAGATTTTAGGTCATTGCCAAATTAATCCTTGTAGCTGGGGGTAGAGAAATGAGAAACGGTACTTGAGCCCCATTTCTTACCGATCTAGATTCTGCTCCTGCGGAACGACTGAAGTCTGTGCGTTGTAAGGTGCAAGATTTCATCAAACAGACCTTGCAACACAAACATCTACTCTTGCTGGAAACATGGTCCCACGTGCGGAACAGTATCCAATGATTGTATTGACATCGACTCCAACAAGATGACACTGGCTCTCCAAGAAGAACTCGAAAAGGAAGACGATGCTAATTTATTTGAACGTTTATTTTGTGTTATATCAGACCATTTACATTGTCTTGTTTGCTATTTTTGGTGTAGGAGTTTGGCGCTATTCATTGCTCGTTAGTGGTATCCTATAACCTTTTCCGATGGAGTGTTATTTTCTGGGCCTAGTATTTTTGCAATAGTGTTTGAATTAAAGATTTCAAATCCTATAATTTTCTGTTTTTGTACAAAGGATCACATTTTTGGCAGACATCAAAAAGATGTGAAAAATAATCACCTCCATTGTTGGGGTGGGTCACTACTTTGCTTAACAAAACAGGACCTTCAGGCCTCAAGTTGCTTCGTGGGTTTCCTGGTATAACGAGTTATATCTATGTATTTGTTTTATCTATTCTCTAGTCATACTTTGCTTGTAGCAAACAAGATCGTCAAATCTTCTTCGAATAGGCCCCATATTTTACTCAACAGACTGCCAAAACGGAAGAGGCCAAAATGAAGATAAATTTATGTGAGATTTATTGTATATAAAAAAAATACACAATTTTGGCACAAGGCCTAAAGAGGGAATGGGTTGAGACTGGTTGTCAGTTACTATCTGATATCGAGCTAATCCGATTCACAACCCATTCACTCGTCACAATTTGCATATCCTCCACAAGAACCCATCTATCGCTACTATTGCTATTTTTGGTGTTGGCGCTATTCAATACTCGTTAGTGGTATCCTATAACCTTTTCCGGTGGAGTGGTATTTTCTGGGCCTAGTATTTTTGCAATAGTGTTTGAATTAAAGATTTCAAATCCTATAATTTTCTGTTTTTGTACAAAGGATCACATTTTACTCGTTACAATTTGCCTATCCAACACAAGAAGCCATCTCTCGCCATTCAATCCTTCATATACCATAATACCGCATGCTCTCAGGGAACCTACAAGAAACACCCCATGGCATAAAAATTTCATGAGCATAAAATCCTATACATAAAAATCTATAAATTATATACAACGAGCGGCGAGAAGGTGAAGATAAATTTATGCTGTCGTTATTAACATCACTTATAACCAGGCCAAAGTTCATGTTCTCAGCATTATGAGAGATAAAACGTCCTTACTTTGTTGTCTAGACGGCAAAATATGCAGATATCACGTGACCAGCCTGAAAGCTCCACAGAGTGAGATCGAAGTCTGAGCGAAAGAGAGGGGTTGATCGGTAGTATTCTAAAATATTTGTCCGACTCTCTCTCTCTCTCTCTCTCTCTCTCTCTCTCTCTCTCTCTCTCTCTCTCAACTGTTTTATTTGTCAAATTCATTTTGACAGGCCAATTATTGGTCATGTAAATTACGTATGCCATTTCCTAAGCGGCATATAAAGCTGATAGTTCTTTGTTTTGTGCTATTTTTTTTATATCATCTACTATTTTACTGCTATATACATGGTTATTGATATATGTCAGCTGATGTTGTTGAAATACGGCTACGTTTTACTTCAGGTTCATTATTTCAGATCTGGTGTGAAAATTATCCCCAACACCTAAATTTCCCCAGGTGGTCTAAATGAGGACTTTTCAATTTTCAAAAGCGGTGACCTTAACCTTTCTTAAAAGTTGAGACCTTAACCTTTCTTACCATATTTAGCTTGGTAACATTTTTTCCCGGTGAACATTTATATATACCAGATTAATAGGTAAAGGTTCAAGGTCTGCTCGGTGATAGTGAAATATTACTGATTTTAACGTATTTAATTTTACAAGCCAGTCCCCACGCCCGCCATTGAACCACTTCGTTGGTTGATTGATTTGATTGTTTAACGGCATATCAACTCATTTATGGGTTATTTAATGCCGAAATTTAATTTTCGTGTGAGCTTTGAAGTGATAAAAATATGATATATGTTGTTCTGTTTGGGCCCCCTCGAGGCGGTGTAATGGTTATCAAGCTTGTCTCGTATAGAACAATTACTACTGAATAGTGAGTTCGATCCTCACTGGGTTCCCCCTACTTTCGGCATATATGTTATTCTGTTTTCATAATTGATTACATGGTGTAGGATATGTTATTTACCGTACATTTGAACACTAATGGGTATGTCCCAATCCTCATAAATACGTTGGACACTATTGTAAGTGGGAGTAACATGCTGTCTAAGTAGTCCACCACTAAGAGTGGTTTACCTACTTCAAGGCGCTGGCGAGTATTGTATTTTGTTGATGTTGTAAAGATTACCATTTCATTTCCAACCTCCATTTCCGTTATTCCTCATTCAGTAACCCTTTCTAGGTTACAACAGGATACTCAGCTTTTATGCATATACCTGTTTGTGTGGACATGATTATTAGAGGCGATGATACGTGAGGTTTATGTTGTAGTTTTGTTGAAGTTATATTTTAGAATACAGTTTGATTTCAGAAATTGTAAGATACTATATGACTGATGAGCTTTTCCCATGGTACCATGACTATATGAATTTAAGCGTGCTACTAGATTGGCAATTAGGTCTCACTGTTTTACTGTTGAAATAGCTAGATGTAACTGCCACTTCTACTAATATTTTTTTTTTACTTGCACTTTCTCACCTGTGGAACTCCCGACTTCTTGCCTCTCTGATAATTAAAATCTTCAAACATTTAAATGCAACATCAATTGTTATCTTCTGACTTCTTGAACCCTGGTTTCTTTTATATCTTTTCCTCAATCTTCCTCATTTTAATCTTCTCATTCTCATTTACTTTCACTCCCTGTAACTACCCCACCTGCGTTCTAGTAGCATTATAGCACCGCTTTTGATGAAACGATAAAAAAACACTATATTGCAGGATTCTCTGGGAAAAGAGAGGTTAAGTAATTAACACTACAAAAATCTGAACTTACGACATTTTTCGGCAACTCCTTCAGCCGATGCTGTAGAAAAATTCTATTGCTTTATAGATTTGGAGACAGTACCAGCAACGGTGAGATTGGGGTCTTGTCCATTACAGCCACCGCACATTCAAGCTCACAGCACCTGGTATTCTCGAGCGGTTACCCACCTAGGTACTGACCAGGCTCAACGTTACTTAACTTCAATGATCGCTTTTGTGCATATACCTGTTTGTGTGGACATGATTACTAGAGGCGATGATACGTGAGGTTTATGTTGTAGTTTTGTTGAAGTTATATTTTGGAATACAGTTTGATTTCAGAAATTGTAGGATATAAGGATTAATGTCATGAAAAAATTCTTTCACCTTGGAATAGGTATAAATAGGTATTGTTATTAATTTTATTATAAAAATGTATTGTTGGTAATTGTTACTATAAAATTTATTGTTGGTAATTATACTATAAAAATGTATTGTTGGTAATTTTACTATAAATAAGTCTTGTTGGTAATTTTTTATAGAATAACGTATATTGCTGGTATTTTTATTATAATTTATACACACACACACACATATAAATATATATATATATATATATATATATATATATAAAAGTGAACGTAGAAGTCAACACTTAGAGGCGACAGTCTGTTTCATGCTAAAAAATAATAACAGCACTCGTGTCCTGACGATTGCATCTAGCATGAAACAGACTGTCGCCTCTAAGTGTTGATTCTATGTTCACTTTTATATTTACACATGCTCTATCTCTGATATTGAGCACTTTATCCCATAAATATAGCACACCTTAAGACTATATTTCTTCATATATATATATATATATATATATATATATATATATATATATATATATATATATATATATATATCCGATGCGATGAGAACGAAAGTAATATAAATTCTAACGTTCACAGCATTTATCCAAAAGACGGCTCGATACCGATAGTAGAGCGATAATTATTTATTTATTATAATTTTATCATATATACAAAAATATTTTACTCACTACAAAGATGCAATTTGGTTTCATTGAATTTAACTGCACTTCAACGGGTGAGAATTGAAAATATATATATACTTCCAGGGTGTTTTTTTGTTTTTTGTTTGTTTGTTTTTTTTGCTTGTTTTTTTTTGTTTTTTTTTTTTTTTTTTTTTTTTGGTGGTGGTCACTATTTGCTGGGACCTTAACAAATGCTACCACACCGGGTTAGGGTGAACATGGGAACAACAGCCTTTAAGAGGTTGTTCCACGCTCCTCAAAACTTTCAATCTCCCGATAAGAGGGCTTGCCGCCGGATGTACTTTATCATCATAACCAGGAGAATTGCACCACTTTGGCTCGGTCAGATGAAAGATCAGCTGCCAGTTTCTAGTCATGCAGATTTTTTTTATAAACTGTTGTATCATTCACGTAGGCATTTACTAAAGATCAGAGAATGATATTAGGCAGTGTTATGAATAAACAAGAGTAGTCTTCCCTTATTCTAGTACTCTCTTCTTTTAGAGGGCTATTTCTGTTTAATGGGACTATAAAAGGACACTATACTCGAATATTGTATTCTCAGTTGAATAAAGCTTTCTTAAAGACTACACCTGCGTACTTTTTTCCTTACAGGCTGATCGTTAATATAGAGCAGAAAGAGAGTAGAACCGACTTGTGCATCCTAAAGATGCAAGATTATCGCAAGATAAGTGAAGATTAATTCGAGGTGTTAATGCGAATATCCAGGTGAGTCGTCTTAATCCTGAACAAAAGATATTCACGATGCGTTGTGTACTTAAATGACCTAGAATAATTAGTGCATTATTTAAACAATAAGAAAACTTATACGCCCATCACTGTGTAATAAAAACCTGTGAATCACGAGTTTTGATTCTCTTTCGAGTTGTAGGAATAGTCGTTTCGTATACTGAAAATCCCATTTTGATAAAACAACTTGAAATCAGTCATATTCTAAACTATTTGGGCACCTCGATGTGGTATAATGGTTAGCAAGCTTATCTCGCTAGAACAATTACGACTGAGTAGTGAATTCCATCCTCATTGGGTGCCCCCTAGTTTCGGCCTGGTGCCACATCTAAGCTACACTTGGAAAAACACTAGGGCGTCTCAATGTGGTGTAATGGCTAGCAAGCTTGTCTCGCTAAAACAATTACGAATGAGTAATCAGTTCGATCTTCACTGTGTGCCTCATACTTTCGGCCTTGTGCCACATCTAATCTACGCTTGGAAAATCACTATAACTAGTGGAACTAAGGCAGTAAGAACATTTTTCATGGAAATAGCGATAGTGCAGCTAGAGGAGTAATGGATAGCGGCTTGGATTGAGGAATCAGAGAGCCGAGTTCGAATTCCAGTCGAATCCATTGCATTCACTTACGTGCTAATACCCTTAGGAAAGGTATGAATCCTCTTCTCCCCCCTCCCAGCTATGGGTAAATAGTAGGATAGACCGGGTTCTGTAGCCTTGGATGGCAACTGGTCTAACGCAGAAAGAAATGGCAACCTACCGTGGGAAAAAAAATCTGCCTCGTCAATCATCGAAAATCACTAGGGCGTCTCCACGTGGTGTAATGGCTAGCAAGCTTGTCTCTTTAGAACAATTAGGACTGAGTAATGAGTTCGATCCTCATTGTGTGCCTTAAACTTTCGGCCTTGTGCCACATCTAATCTATGCTTAGAAAATCACCATATTCTAATCTATATACCTTTGTGGAACCCTTAAAATAGTTTTCATGTCTCCGAGAACCCATACATAAGAATTATTATATATCATTATTAAATATATTTTTACGGATAACTGGTTTAAGGAGAATGATCCCTTTTTTGTTAAATTTATTGCAGATGCAAAAAAAATCATATTAATCATTTATGAGACCTCACAAAAAAGATAAACACAACCAATATCATTATAATTTATTATAATAACCAAGGATTTTCGAATAATATGCCTTGCATGTATAATAAAATCACAAAAATTACTCAGAAATGCATTACCCTATTTATCACTGTTTGTCACGGAACCCCTACCATCCTCTTATGGAACCCTAGGGTTCCGGGGACCACAGGTTAAGAATTACTGTTCTAAACTGATGCTTATTCAAATATGTCTTAAAAATTTTAAAGATGCTGTAACGACAAAAGTACGCTGGTGTAGACTTTAAGAAAGCTTTAGTCAACTGAGGATACAAGGTCCGCGTTTAGTGTCCTTTTATTGTCTCAGTAGACAGAAATAGGTCTCTCAAAGAGGAGAATAACGAAACAAGGGGAGGCCACTCTTGATTATTCATAACGGATACATTCATCAATCACTATTTTACATGATATTTGTGTAAACCTGGCTTATGCCTACCTTATTTTTACTGTAGTGTAAACCAGACCCCTCTCTACCTTTTGACTCTAGTGGTAACCAGGCTTAAGGTTATCTTTTTTTTCTTCATTTTTTTTTTTTTTGCTTT